GGACAATGTTCTACCGCCTGTCAAGTGCATGCAAATGTATATGCACCAACCGCCAGAACGATTACACACATCAACCAACATCCTGGCCATTTCGAGACGTTGGGGTATGGGACATTGGTCGGTCCAATTTTTCCCCCTTTCACGTCAAAAGGTCGGGTTTATTCTCGCTCATCACTGACTACTTTCAAAGTTGGGCTGGAGGCGATTCCGCTTAGGAAAGTGAGAGACAAACAACGTCATCAACTTCATCAAGCATTGCATTGTCAAATATTACCGACACGGCGGCCGTGCCGAGACGATCATCACGATACGGTCCACAGTTCATAAGAACGCTTGCATCAGGTTTTGTGATAAATTCAGATCGAGGATGTATCCGCACAGCCGATTATGCCAGCCTGCCAAAACGGATTAGCTGAAGCTTTGCAATTTAAAAGCGATTTCATTAAGATTCCTGTCTAAGCTTGTGAAGACCAACAAACGGATAGACTGTGTGGACGGAGATTAAACTTGGGGAGGCAAACTCTTGGGTTATCGCACCACCATACGCACTTCCTACGGAGCTACTTCCCGTGACTCGGTTAGTGATCATGGGGATGCGAAGCGGGTGCTACCCTTGGATAATTTCAAATTCCCTCCCTTTCGGAATCGCTCTCGCAACGGAAGGATGACGACCGTAGAACAACTCAGAAAAGCGTCTCGAAGAGGCTGCGAGAGGCTGGCATGAAAGGCGCTTGGAGCTCAAACAACATTATCGTAATTCTACCAGGCTTAGGATGGTCCCAGGCTTTTTGACAAATGAACGAGCTCCCGCCGAAGAAGCTTCAAGGAAGGGAGATCTGCGTCCTGCGCTGCTCGCCGACCGATATAATTTCTCACCTCCAAGAAGGAAAGGTAAATTTGGAACCTAAGTGGAAGGGACCGGTGTAAAGACAGCGAGTCTATTCAAACGGCGCTTACGTCTGATTTTCCCTATCGAGGGCGCCAGGCAATTAATGCCAATGAATGGGAAGTCTCTTGGAAAAAGTATTTATTCCCTAGTTTACATTCAGCGATAAACCATTTTACGGGAAGTTCCTCGGAAGAATATTTACACTCAATATTCCTCAGCAGGATACCCAAAATCATTGTCTCCACCAAAATCCCTCATGATCAGTTGTCAATTGCAGGGGCCGTCCACAAAAAATATCCATCTGGCCCTCTTGACTCTTTCCTCATGGAATAAGAAAGGTCACTTTCAGTTCGGATCCCCCTTCGGATAAACGAAAGAACTCCTGTCTTGTTCTCTTCGATTAAGCCTTCCCATGGCTGATATACCGGCAGTTGAAATTTCACTGCGAATAAACGAAGAAACTCTTGTTTTCAGTTTAGATAAAACCAATCTATAAAGGCAAGTTTATCTTAAGATTTTCCGATTTCCGGAGTGGAGATCCCACTTGCTAAGCTTTTCTTTCCTCGCTGTAAATTCTTTCCTTTTCCAGGATCAGGGAATAGAATATAAAATTCTTCCTTTCCTTTGTTTGTCGGGTTCGCCTGTCACCCTTAAAAGAAGACGGCGAATAGAATATAAAATTCTGCCTTTCTTCCCGCAGTCGATCTTTTCCAAAATTATCAAGTTTAGATTTATCCTTTAAGGAGAGTTATTATCCGAATCTAAGAGGGATAAGTCTGCGCCTAACACGCGCTTGCTGGCGGGTTTAGTCTTTTTCCCGTACAAAAAGACACCAGCAGTTTCGATTGTCTGGGGTATTGCTATTCCTGAAACCTAAGTAAGGATCAAGTCTTGCGCCTAAATCACGCGCTGCCAGGTGGTTAGTTCTGTAAACCTGTTGGACAAAGAACACCCGTTCGACATATTCAACATAACGTGACAGGTTGCTTATTATAACACCAAAATCCATGCCTGCAACCGCATGGGAATGTCATCCTGAATCCTAAGAAAGGATATGTCTGACACCTAAACACGTGTTCGCCCGGTTAGGTCTTTTTTCGAACAAAAAGGACCACAGAGTCCGATTCTGGGGTATTTTTATTCCCGAAGCTAATGGGAAAAGTCAACATCTAATTACGTTGTAGTGGCGGGTAGCCTTTATCCCGTCAACAATGGCGAAGCTATGTATTCGACATCAATAGCTGCGAAGTCTAAGGCAGTTCATTCCCCTTTCGCACAACGTGTTTACATCTGCGAACGGAGTTAGACAATTCGCATGATAGCCCGACTCAAACGGTAGTCGTGTAAAGCTAATCAAAATCCGTTTAAGGGCTGGGAGGAATTTGCCAAAAAATCCTAAATGTCAACTTCTAACACACGTTGCTGGTTTAGTTTTTCACAGGAGAAAGAGAGTCTGACGTATTCAATTCGTTAGCACTAAAAGGGATGTTACTCTTTTAGCTTAACGTCACTTGCGGAACGGTTTAAACATTCCGCAGGCTAGTGCCCGACTCAAAACGGTATCGGTAAAGGCTCATGCAAATCGTTGATGGCTGAGAATTTGCCAAAAAATTCTTATACATTGCGAGGTCTATTGACGTATCAGACTTTAGATTGGTTGCTCGATGACTTGAGCATTCCAACAACTTGGGGAGATAGGTGCCACACTCCATAATTTACCTTAAGAGCTTAAACTGTGTGATACTCCAGCAGACGGTACAACGAGATAACTGATGTCAGACGTCGAACATACGTCACAATAAGCCTGGCCGCCGGACAACGCGTTGTAAACAAAAAAAATTCAACCGCAAGTCAATCGGGAATGATCAGTGTCGTATGTTTGAAGCAAACTAACTGCGAGCTAAAAGTCAAGAAATCAAGAATCGGTTTCGAAAGTTCAAAATTCTTAACAACGGTTAGACAAGAAAGCGCACCGGAAAATCCTCACAGGCGTTCTACAAAGCCACTGATATGAACTGAAGGAATTGAAGGAATCCAGAACAGGGAAGCATTCCAAGTCCCGCTACGCCGACTGAAAGGATTGGGACAATCACATTCCAAAGTATCCAGACTCTTTCTATGACCAAGAACGAGCTGAATACTTTTGGAGGGGGTATCTGTAGGCGTTAGTAAAAATTGCCTATAGGTCCCAATACAGCTCGATGACTGGTTGAATTTCGTACAACGGACCATCGGGCGACGTATCCAAGCACTACCGTTTTATCCCGCTAACTGCCCGAGCCAAACCATACGCAACGGGAGCCAGCTATATTAACGAGGCGGAGAAGCCAAAAAATCTGGCACCAGCATTTGGAACGCATTCCACTCGCTACGCGGGATCGAACAACGTTCGGGAGGAACCTCACCGAGTCATCTAAACTAAGAACGAACTCGGTGATATGACGATCGAATCAAGATCGGGTTTCGGACTCGACTCAGAGTGGACTTACTGCTAATCAAGGAACGGATCAACAAATCGAATCTCGAACAAGTCCAACCAGCAACCCGAATCAAAGTCCAATCAACAAAAATCGGGAACCCGAACGACGGAACCCGAAGCGACGGAAACCCGAAAACCCGCTAAGGGGCTCGCGCCAAAGCCGAAGCACCTGTAGGTGGCTCGGCCAAGGCGCGAGCCACCTGTAGTGGCTCGGCCAGGGCGAGCCACCTGTGGGTGGCTCGGCCAGGGCCGAGCCACCCACAGGTGGTCGGCAAAGCCGAGCACCTGCTAGGTGGCGTCGGCCAAGGCGAGCACCTGTGGGTGGCTGCGGCCAGGGCGAGCCACCTGGCAGCGTGGCGTCGGGCCAAGGCCGAGCCACCTGTGGGTGGCTCGGGCCAAGACCGAGCACCACAGGTGGCTAGGCTCAGAACTGTGCAAATGCACAGTTCTGAGTGCCTATAAATAGGCCAAGGCATTGTTCATTTCAGGGATGGGAAATTTTGGAGAGAGGCGAAGCCCTGCCGGATTGGAATCTGAGATCTAAAAAAGATTGGAGCTTTAGAAGATTGAAGACTTGGACTTTGAGATCCGGTTCTCGGCGATCATCCACGCCAAACAAGGCAAGTGTTCGAGAGAAGACTTGGACTTTGAGATCCGGTTCTCGGCGATCATCCACGCCAAACAAGGCAAGTGTTCGAGAGGGACCGGATCTGAGATCTACACGATTTTCCTCCGGATCTAAGCTTGGTTCTTAGATCCCGAGAAGAGTCTCGAATTCGCTTGGTCGATTTCGACACTTGGGCTACTATTTCCTTGGTGAATTAGTACCCCACCCGGCTATTATTTCCTTCGTGAGATAATACCCGTCATATCGTGTAGATCCGACCGGATCTCTTTGTAACGCATAAAGTTGTTAACTGAGTGCAATGACATCGATAATGAAGAAAACACCAACTTTCCCCGCGAACAGCCGTGAAGTGGATAATGCGGTACTTGAGAGGGACAACGAACAAGCCATTATGTTTCAGGAGGAAGGAGTTGGTGCTACAGGGATACGTGGATGTGGACTTCGTCGGTGATTATGATACGAGACGAAGCACCACGGGGTATGTTTATACCTTAACGTCGACAGCAGTGAGCTGGGTCTCATGTCTGCAGAAGATTGTGACTTTGTCTACAACTGAGGCTGAGTATGTCGCGGTGACTAAAGTAAGCAAGGAGATGATCTGATTGAACGGGTGCTTGGAAGAGTTGGATCTGAAGCAAGGGAGAGGAGTTCTTTATTGTGATAGCCAGAGCGCTATAAATCTTGCTAAGAATCCAGTATATCATGCCAGAACGAAACACATCGACGTCAAATACCATTTTATACGCTCGCTAGTTGAAGACGGAAAGTTATATTTGATAAAGATTTTGGGGAGTCAAAATCCAGCGGACATGTTGACGAAGGCAGTCACCATTGAGAAACTGGAGTTGTGCGCAACTTCAGTTGGCCTTCACGAGTAGAAGACGAAGGCGGAGCCACACTACGAGGATCGGCAAGATCGTCAGGATGTTAATGATTGAAGAATGGATTTTTCAAGTAGGAGAAGATGCTTGCGAGAAGGTGGAGTTCGGGAGAGCTCATTGATGGTGGTTTGATCTTCAAGTGGGAAATTGTTGGTCTTGAAAGTGGAGACCCAAACCTAGAATCAAAATCAACAATCGCATGAAAATTCAAGACAGACCATGGGTGTGGTCTGCGCCACACCAGGGTGTGACAGAGTCTGCATTGTCTGCCATGGGTGTGGTCTGCGCCACACCAGGGTGTGGCAGACTCGTTTTAGAATCCTAATCTGTTTGGGACTGTGTTTTGTTATAAATAGAAACACGTCCCTTTATGGTTTAAGAAAGAAAAAGAGCACGAAAAAAAAGTGTTTTGAGGGCTCTTTGAGGTAAAAAATCTTAGAGAGAGAGA